TTCCCCAATATTTTTGTACTCCATTAATTACAACACGAATAATTTTGTCACTTCCTTCAAAAAAGGTTGGAAAATATTTTGAATAAGAAACATAAGTAAAGTGTATATGTTTTATAAAAGTGTTAGGTATGCTGCAATTAAATTTTAAGACCAACTCTGGAAGTTATCCAACAAGTCATTTCCTCATTGTACAATTTAAATCCCTGGAGAGCTGAGATTAGAACCCATCCTCATGATTTAGCTTCATGAGTCACTTTCCTCTCAGTACAGTACATGGGTGTCCTCACACAGTCTTCTTGAGCTGTGAGTGTGTGTGTGTGTGTTTACTCTGTTGAGTGATTTCTGGTCTAAATCTTATATCTAGTCAGAATATCAAATTTATTATAGGACTAGAAAACAGTTAATGAAAAAGAGAAAATAGTACAAATAAAAGGTGGGGACAAAAAGCAACATTTCCTATTGGAATCTTCGTTGGCAGCAATTTTCCTCTCTGTCTTTGAAGTTTGGGGTCACTTTGAACTCTTCTGGAATTGCAGACTCTTAGGTCATGCCTTTGCTCTCATCTATCCCCACCTCTAATCTCATCTACCACACCATCGTGCCTGGATGACTCATCAACATGACATTTAAGATATTAGGAATTTGATGTATTTAAATTCTGAATGATTTAACCCTGAATCCAATTCTATATCCTCCCTTGGGCTGTGGATTGAATTGAGTTGAATTTTATTACCCCAGGGACTCATGTCCTCTTCCAATGAGGAAGCAAATGACTTTCACTTTGTCACAGTGTTTCTATAGGGATTTTAAGGACATATTGAAGTCCAAGGGTGGACAACACCTTCCTTTCCCCTCTTCTCACATACCTGCCTAAACTGACAGCAGAAGAGGAGAAATATAGCATAACTAGAAGTTGTAGGGAAATTCCAGTTTAGTTCTCTGTTTTCATTTCTATATTCAACTCTCAATAAGGTTTGGTGCAGAATGGTGTTGGTGACCTAAAGTGAAATACTTTGAAATCAAAGTAATGAAGGGTTTTTCCTCTTTAACATTTTCAGTCATCTTATTGATCCAACATTGCATAAATTAAGAGTTCCTCTTAGGTGAATTTTCCAGAAAACTAAAATAGTAAAATTTGAAGCAGTTGCCCATTGCAAATTCAGCATTCATAATAAGCACAGAATGCTTTACCAGGGGAAAATAAGCCTTCTAATTTAAGGACTATTAAAAAAGGAAAATAAATTCTTGATACCTTTTAGTTCATCACTTCTGCTCATTTTTGGCATAAAAATGAGCTCTTAGAGCCTGGACATTCTTCCTCAGGAAGAAAGTAGATGGTGTTGGTTGGGCATTGGATTGCATCCTCCTGCATAAGGATCTGATACTGCTGTGTCCTCATTTTCAGCTGCTAGCTGTGCTCTTTAAGGAGAAGTCATGAGTTGTCACCTTGGGCTCAGCAAGATGAATACCACAACATTCCTGCCCACAACCAGTGCCAGGAGCTCTCACCTTTGGTCCCCAAAGAATCAAAACAGCCCTGAATTTTTAATGTCCTTTCCATAAATTCTGTAGATCAGAAGAGTGGAGATGAGTCTTCTCATTGACCAATTTCCTCCTATGATATTCTGCTATTGGTCGTACAAGGTCATTTTAGTTAGGCAAGTAAGTTCAGAAAGAGAATACATCAAGATATCCCTTTGGCTAGATTGCTAAAACCAGATATATATATATATATATATATATATATATATATATATATATATAAAACAAAAAATATATATAACAAAAAATCTGTACTATCATACTTAAATCTGTATGACTTTTACTTCTTTCTAGAGAAGAAAGGAGTAGGATCTTTTGTTGGCCAACCCTTGTAGTAGGGATAATGATAATTTTACATTATTATTCTTTTTTAAAAAACATGAACAGAACTTTTAGAATTGTTTTCATGTATCTCTGAATGCAGTGATTACAATGACAACAAAACCTCACTAATTTAGAATAATGATGTGAGAGTATAGGAGTACATCGGACATTGAGAATCCAATCATGGAAAATTTTTAAAGAAGAGCACATTTTTGTCAACGAGAATATGTACTAGACAGGAAGATATAACTATGTTAGTAGGTGAATTAAAGCAAGTTGAATTAATTTAAACACTCTTCACACTGGACCAAAAAGACAAAAGTCATTTAACATATGAGAATTCAGTATATCTTTTTAGTGGTCAATTCAACAAATCTGGAGGCACATTCTTTTTTTTTTTTTTTTAAAGATTCATTTATTTATGCATACAAGATCTGGGGTATAGGCCAGATGCACGGCAGGGTGAGAGGATTCACCAGAGACAGAGCGGGGAACAGAACAGGCAGACTGACGAAACACACTGCTGAGGGGAGCAGTGGGTGAGACGGGGGAGGTCTGCCTCGCCATGTGGGATTCTTGCCTCCGCACTGCAGAGGCTGCATGGAGGCACATTCTTGAAGAAATTCATTTCAAGAGCTTTTGGTTTGATACAGCTACTGATTTTAGACTAGGTATTGTTTTTCTGAACTTGTCTGTCTCATCAGTGAAACCCCAGTAAGGTTTTCCAGGAATATATTATTGTTGCTTCAGTAATAGATAAAATGGACAGACAATGGGTTAGAGAATTAAATTTTTCTCTCCCCATTTAGAAACATGTTTATTATGAGCATTGTTTCATATGCTGTTTATTTACTTCATCACCAACTTCAATCCAATGTAATTTTTTTTCTCTCCATCAAAATTGTTCTTGGAAACAGGGGAAGTAGAGATTAACAAGCATTTCTTCCAAGAAGGCATGCAGGTGGCCAAAAGACACATGAAAAAATGTTCATCATCATTTATCATCAAGGAAATGCAAATCAAACCCACATGAAATATGACCTCACACCTGTGAGAATGGTCCAGATTGAAAAGACCAGAAAGAAATGGTGAAGATGTAGAGAAAAGGGAACTCTCCTACATTGCTGGTGGGAATAAAGGCTGGTGCATCCTTATGGAAATCAGTGTGGTGGTGTCTCAAAAGATTAAAAATGGATCTGCCTTATAACCCAGTAATTCCACTCCTAGGCATCTATCTGAAAAATTCAATAATACTAATTTGAATGGAGACTTGCACTCCACGTTTACTACAGCACTATTTACAATCACCAAACTATGGAAACAACCCTTTCTCTCCTACTAGACTGTTTTCATTTCAGGGCAGGGATTATCATTGTTTCCTGACTTAGTATTTTGCTTAACCCACTTCACAACTATTCATTGTTTACTAAGTGAATCAACTATTTGATGAAGTTCAAATGTATATTCATTATCTGTACATTATGTTGTGACATGTCTCAGATCTATTGTTTTGATGCTGTGCTAATCATTAAACTTGTTCTTTAAGTCCCATTGCCTATCATTTACATGGGATTCAAAGTAAGCTTAGAGTTTAGGAAGCATCCACCCCCACCACAGTTTGCCTTTGCAGAAACGATCTGAAATGCCGGTGTTTGGAATCTTCACTGTGTTAGGAAGAAGTTGGTGTTACAACCATAATTCTCATTGCAAAACAAAATAGAAGCAAAAACTTAACTTTCACAACTTAGCTGACTTCTCCTTTTTGATCAGTTTGAAGGGTTTTTGTTCTCTTTAATACAAGTGTTTTCTGCTTGTGTATAGCAAAGACATAATCTAATCTCCAAGGTTTATTTGCCAAAAGAGTCACTGGATGTGGAAAGGAGCAATGGTTTGAATTTTTATTAATTTGGGATACAAGTTCATTGGAGAAATAATGTGCAGATATCTCATAAAACCTTTTCAAAATAAAAGTGTAAGTAAGGGAAAGTTAATAGACATTTTCCAACCTGCAAACTTACCAAATTTAGTTAGTAAACCAGTTTCAAAGTAAATCTTCTCTGAGTCACTGAGTGCCTTCCTTCTTGAGAGAACCACAGAAACCCTCAACTATTTTACAAAATTTGAGAATACTAGAGGATATCAGCGCTTCACACCACAATGTGTTTGACCAGCAATTTGCTTCACAGAGGGCAAAAGGTCTTACTCTGTTGGGCTTCCTGGTGGCTTAGGGGTTAAGTCTCAGTGCTATCACCCTAAGGGCCAAAGAGGCCTGAGTTTGATCCCCACGCCAGGAAGCTAACCCGCATGGTGCAGCAGAACTCTTCTGTCTTGCCTACTGCTCCCCTCAGCAGTATATTTCAGGAGATCCACCTGCACTGCTCCCCACTCTGTCCCTGGTGAATCCTCTTATCCCCCACACCTCTGGCCTGTACCCCAGTTCTTCTACATAAAAATAAAATCTTAAAAAAGTCTTTATTTTCCAATATACTATTTCAAGGTAACTATAGGGATAATGTTCCACAAATGCAAGGAAATAAAACCATTCACACTCCTTAAAGACATCCTTTACTGTTTTGGGTTAACAATAATACCAAGTTACCAGTCTTTGTGGTGGCAGAATGATTCACAGAAGTCTGAGACCTAAATAAATAAATAAATAAATAAATAAATAAATAAATAAATAAATAAATAAAACTTCTACAATAAAAGAAGGGTATAGACCAACATGTTTCCCGGGGAATTGGACACTGTAGGCTCGCTCATTTTTGGATTTAATTGAGCTATTTTTCAATAGCTGGTATTTAGTTTGCCTTATTTATATTTAATGCAGCGGTAAGTAGGAAGACTGTGAATTGGGTCTTTGGGCTAATCATGCTGACGTGTTCACGATAAAACTCAGGAGCTTTGCATAGCAGAGTTCTGCGGTCAGGTCGCCACTGGGTTATTGGCTTTCTAAGGTGGAGGATGGGCTGTGTCACTATCCGTGCTTCCAGATAAGGAAAAGAAAATTGCACCTAGAGGCAAAAGAAAGAGTCGAGAGTAATTTGCAGTGAAGGAGCAAAATGAAATCCTGCAGGAGGTCAAGTTTGTTTTCGCCAGGAGGTGTCACTATTGTCAACACACATTACCTGAGATGGACGGAAGAGGCGGTGGCCAGCATGATCTGAGAGCAGAAGACAATTTTTCTGAATTTCCTCTTCCTTCCCTCCATCCTGAAATTTATATCCTTTATCTCTTTTCCATGTAATGGGCTTGCTAAAATGCTGCTACTGTCATCGGAAGGAAAAATAAAATTCGTGATGGGGAAAGAGTGGAGCAGAATTCATGTAGATTTTGAGTCACCAACTCAGATGCACTGTAAGTTTTTTTCCCTTTTAGTCATGACTTAATGGTCCTAAACTAGTATAATTTTAAAGTCATATGGTGTGGGAACTGATTGCATCTTTCTATTCTTGCACAACTCAATAAAATTCCTTCAGATGGTACATAATAGGTTGAATGGATAGTCTTCTGAGTTCATGCTCTATGTTACTTAGGTATTTAAAAATGGCATTGGAAACTTCTGAGTCATTTTTATTTTTGCTCAGACTTCATAGTCAGGCAGTTTGGGTGGAGACTCTGGCTCGATTGCTATCCATCTATGTAATCCTCTTTGGAAAGTTATTTACTCTATCAAAACCTCAGTTTGCTAATACACAAGGTGAGCATAATAGTGCTACTTATTCTCATAGTGATAATGGGTGTGTTAAGTGACAATAAATGAGATGCTATGTGCAAAGCACTTCACACAGTGATGACATACAGCCAGAGTTCAGTAAGGGTTAATTTTATTATTAACTATTAATATTGACACCTGGGCAGTCAACTTGTCATAACAGAGTTTGAGCATCCATCCTCCTACATTTCGAGCATCCCTCACTTGCCTGGCAGCTCACCCCAAAGGATTTAGAAAAGAACTTGTTCCCTTATTTTTCTTCACATCCCCATACCTGGCCTTGTTTCCTATTTGGTGGATGTTTTGCAAAATTTATTGATGATGCTTCCTGAGCAATTACCCTTTGTGGAAGATGTTTGCCTTTTGTCTCCTCTCTGCAGATCTGAGCTTCTCCCTTCTTTTAAGCTCCAGATCAACTTCTACCTTTCGTGTGTCAACCTCTTCATCTTTCTTTGACTGAATTTCTGTAGTACTCAGAGTATATCTCACAAGCTTGATTACTATCATTTCTGTTTTTTTTTTTTCTCTAGTAGTGTTCAGTGTGTAAACCCTACTTGCTCAAATTGCTTTTTTGTTTCTTAAGGGTCAGAAGGACTTTTGTGTCTTCCTTGTTTTTCCTTATCATACCAGCTTAGTTCTGAAGATATGGGAGTATTGGACACATTTTTGTCACTGGCTGATTATTGAGAGTTCAGAATGTCAAAGAAACAGTTGAGATACAAGTAAGTCATTTTGTGACTCTAAGTACGATCAAGGAGTTCAGTGGGAAACTGTGATTGAAGGTTGAAAGAGAGGACTAAGCATATCAGAGGGACCTGGTCTGGCAGTTTAAGCCTGGGAAAAAAACAAGTGCTTGGCTGGAGCTGCCACTGATGGGTGAAGTCAGTGTGTATGAAAGAGACAGTCAGTTCTCTAGGAAGCAGAGATGGAGACCCTCACTATCTGGGTCTTGATTCTATCACTACTGATTGCTCTTGAGAAAACAACATAACCTCTTTGGGCCCATGTTTATTTGATGGAGAATGAAAAGCTTGCATTAACTATTGATCTGATGTTCCAACTGGTTCTAAAACTGTATGTTTGGGAGGTAGGTGAGAAAGAAATAAACAGTTTTAGATAACATAGGGTGGGCAAATTCCTGGGACTCTGTCTGTTCTTTTATTCCCACACCAAAAATAAAAGAAATAATGTGGGATGAAGCACTAATCCTGCTTTGTCATTGACTTATTGTGTCACTCATGCATGCATCCAACAAATGTTGATGGAATCTTATGTGGAAGGCATGGGGTTAGCGCTGGTGATGAAATGATGATGAAATTTATAAGTCCCTGCTTCTTACATTCATAATCCAGTAGGGGTGGAGGGAGCGGAAACAGGCAAAGAAATGTAATATTAGCAGCCACCATGATGTGTGCTGGGAAGTACATGTGAATGGTGGGTGAAGGGATCCAACTTTGACTGGGAAGGCTTGTGGGTGGAAATCATCTAGGTGAATGGCAGGTTGAAGAAAAGGGCATGTGTGAAGATGCTTTGGTGGCAGAGAGAATGCCACACTTGGAAAATGGAAGAACAGTGCAGTTAGAGCTTTGAGAATTGAAGAGGGTGACGCAGACAATGTTGTGGGAAGGGGATGCAGTGGGGGGCCTTGTCAAACGTGGTAAAAACATGGTTCTTTATTTTTATTAAAATTTTTTTTCAGGGCCTCCCCCAGTGGTGCAGCAGTTGAGCGCTGCGTTGCAAAGCTACCCACAGCCTCTGCAGCGCCCGTTCGATCCCCGGCCACCTGGCGAGGGTCCCACATGGCACGCAGACCTCTCCTGCCACCCGCTGCTCCCCTCAGCAGTGTACTTCGACAGTCTGCCTGTTCTGCTCCCCGCTCTGGCTCTGGTGAATTCTCTCACCTTCCCACGCTTCTGACTATATCCAGTACTTGTATAAATAAATAAATAAATCTTTAAAAAAAATTTTTTTAATATCTGTAAAATTGTAACTTAAAGAAATTTGACCTTATAAGTGCTTTGGCAGTGTAGAATTTCCCCCCCTTTGGTATACTCACAATAGCACTCCCACCACCAAAATACCCATAGTCCTTCACCATAGTCCAAAATACCCATAGTCCTTCACCATAGTCCTTTATTTCTTCCCTGCTTTCTCACCCTCCTCACTCCCTCTCTGCCTCCAGATGTCTCAGATCCAGTGTCAGCTCTCAAAGGTTGGTTTTCATGTTTGTCTTTTTCTGACCCATTGTTTGGTTTCTCTATATTCTACATGTAAGTGACACCATCCAGCATTTATCTTTCTCCTGGCTTATTTTGCTTCCAGCTCATCCATGTTGCTGCAAGTGGCATCATTTCCCTTTTTTTTTTTTTTAATAATAATATCATGTCACAAGAGAGAGAGTATAGGGGCGATCAGAATGGCAGTTAAGTGGATTTAGGGGGCTGGATTGGGTGCAAGTCAGATTAGTTGGGAGAAATCCAGGTGAGAGACAGAGCTTGGTCTAGGGAGTTCATGCTGGAACCAATGACAGAGAGCTTTCAAGACCTCAGTTTCCTTGTCCCAAGGGGGAGAGTCGAACTAAAAAAGAGGATATTTTCTGGTGATTTCTTTCTTTTTTTTTTTTTAAGATTTATTTATTTATACAAGCACTGGGTATAATCAGAAGCGTGGGAGGGTGAGAGAATTCACCAGAGCCAGAGTGGGGAGCAGAACAGACAGACTGATGAAGTACACTGCTGAGGGGAGCAGCGGGCAGCAGGAGAGGTCTGCGCGCCATGTGGGACCCTCGCCTGGTGGCCAGGGATCGAACAGGTGCTGCAGAGGCTGTGGGCAGCTTTGCAACCCAGCACTCAACCGCTGCGCCACCAGGGAGGCCCCTTTCTGGCGATTTCTGTGGTTCAGTGGAAGGGTGATAATTTGGAGAACAATGTGTTGCTATGTGGCCACATGGCTGGTGTGTAGACATGCTTGCTCTCATTCTGCCTTTGGGTGAAGGCTTTTCCTGAATTTAGGGGTTCTTAGAACCCCTCAGATGAGATACTCATTGCATTAGAGCTTCAGGCAAACCCAAACTTATTTGCAGAAATTCTGACAACTGGCTGTACTTGTTTTAAACTTTTAATACAATTTCAACATAGAGTGAAATATTATTTAAATTTTCCTCCCACTTAAAACTCTCTTTTTACATTTTTATTTTTTTAATTTATTATATATATATTTTAAGATTTATTTATTTATTTATACAAGCACTGGGTACAGTCAGAAGCATGGGAGGGTGAGAGAATTCACCAGAGCCAGAGCGGGGAGCAGAGCAGGCAGAAGGACCGAAGTACACTGCTGAGGGGAGCAGCGGGCTGCAGGAGAGGTCTGCGCCCCATATGGGACCCTCCTCCGGCAGCCGGGTATTGAACCGGCGCTGCAGAGGCTGCAGGTAGCTTCGCAGCCCAGCACTCAACTGCTGCGCTACGAGGGGAGGCCCTCTTTTTACATTTTAAAATCCAAATAGGATATATTGACAAAACAGTTTCATTGGCTAGCTTCAATTTTCTCTCTACTAGAAGAAATAACAAGGAGATGTCGGAAACACTTTCCCCCAGGAAGCATAAATCCCATGAAAAGCTCAAGAAGGAAGCTTCTTGGTATAACATGACGGAAGGCTTCTTGGTATAACAAAAAGAGCAACAATGAATTGTCAATTATAAAGTCTTTCATTTGCCTAGAATTATAGATGTCCATTTTGGAAAATTTTTGAAAATATAGAAAACTTTTAAAAAAGAAAATGAAGAGCACTCATAATCCCTTTAACTAGAGATAAATACTTTAATATTTTCATTTATTTATGATCCATTCTTTCCTACCAATATTTGAGGTATCTAGACAGATGCATCCTTCTCTGGACCCTGTATGGTGATGTAACACTTAGGAATATGCACATGGAGGTTAGACTGGCTACATTCACATTTACTAGCTCTTGGATAAGTTTAGGAATTTTAAAAAAACAATTTATTTCTTTATATAAGAACCGGGGTACCGACAGATGTGTGGGAGGGTGAGAGGATTCACCAGAGACAGAGTGGGGAACAGAACAGGCAGACTGACTGAAGTACACTGCTGAGGGGAGCAGCGGGCATGACAGGAGAGGTCTGCTGCACCATGTGGGTCTCTCCCTGGCCAGCCAGGAGAGGCTGCAGAGGCTGCAAACAGCTTCACAGTGCAGCACTCAACTGCCTGCGCCACCTGGGAGGCCCTTAGGAATTTTTATTTTCCCAAACCTCTGTTTTCTCACTTGTAGAATGGGCCTGATGATAATGCCAACACCTCTGGCACTGTAAGAAGGAAAGGAGGTAAAGTATGGGGCGTCTTTACTGTGTGAGATATTAATTTGCATGAGGGAATTGTGGTTATTTTTGTTATGCCATTTTACTTTACAGTTTCTGTTATTTCAGATTTCTTCCTTTTTCCTTTGTTCTGTGTCACTTTCCTTTCTCCTTGGAAGATATACATTCTATTTTTATTTCTAGTGGTTATCTTTGAGTTTTATTTTAAAACATTGCC